ATTACTATTTTCACCCCTCTGTAGTAACAAATTGAGTGCACCTTCAGTTGAAAAGAATAAAAGAGATCAGCCTAGCACGACTAAGAATCGGACACTGAAGACTAACACATGAACACCTATTGACAAAGGGGACATCCCCTGAGTTTCTTTCCTGCGTGGCACCAGCGGATCCAGGATTTAATTTTTTTTTTGGGGGGGGGAGGAGGGGAGGGGCTTCAGCTCCAAAGCTTTTTTTTCCATAAAAATAACGATAATAACTTTGGAAAAAAAGAAAGAAACTAACTATAAGAGATAATTTTTTAATATTTTTTCCATAAAACATGGTTACATTTTACCATTTTGGGGGGAGCTTCAGCCACAAAGCCCCCCTCCCCGTAGATCCGCCCGTGCTGCGTGGTAAATATCACTGTGATGCACACCTAGACTGAGCTATATGCCTATAAAGAACATCGGAATGAAGTGGAGTTGGAAAATAATATTGCTGAAATTTTGAAAAATAACACGAAGATGGTAAAAAATTGTTCTTTGTTTTAATAAAAAACAAAACTATATAAAAATGTCTTCATTACAGGAAAAGTATGCAATTTATGGTAGATTAATTAAAAGGTTACAAAATTTCCAACAAAATAAAAAAAAAATATCGGAACGGGACCATTAGGAGCAGAGATAAAGATTACAGTAAACTGTACAAAAGTTTTGGTTTATTATTATGAATTAACTATTTTAATCCAACCAAGAAAAAGAAAATGTATTCCTCCACATGATAATAAATTTCATTAACATATTTTAGTTCTATTTTATCAGTTGTTCACTGATATTCACCAGTATTTTATACAAATTATTCGCAAGGGCCAGCCTAGTATTTCTTATTACATTTATTTGACAGATTGTGAAATATTGACGCTAAACGGTAAACCAAATCTATTTTAAATATTAATTGACTTAGCCACAGTGACGCGGTTGATAGAGAAGTGCAGGGATCTCCTAGAATCATGCTTTTCGCTCCACAGTTGGAGGGACAAGTCTGGCTCGGAGTTCTCTTGCCTGATTGTAAATAGTGTATATAGGTATTTATGTATGTTCTTTTTATTTATTTATTCTTAGGTTATTTTATTCTTATTTATTGTATATATATTATTTTTCTGTATAATTTATTGTACATAGAGTGTGAATGTAAACACTATTATAAATCTCCTTGAGACAGATTGTAATATTTTTCAATAAATAAGTTTTTAAAAAAAATTGACTTATTTGAATTCAACTAAGTTTAAAGCCACTCGCTTGTGGCATTGTTTTATTTATTATGTTCGTTAAAGTCAACCGTTTGGAGAATTATATCCATATGAGTGGATGGCACGCAATAATTAAATTGTCAATTCGATAATTGATCTGTATCGTTTCATTTCTCGTTAGCTTATCCTATATTGTCGATTTAAAAAGATAAATAAATAAAACTATCTCAGGGAATCTGTCATAAAAAGTTAATATCAAAAATGGATGAACAGAAATTCACGTGAAGACTACTTAAGTATTATGTTCATCAAGATTTTCCGTTTTATAGTCGTAAATTAAATGACTTCGAAATATCACAAAATATATCACTAGCCTTTGGAAACGACAGCAATAGAACTGACAAAATTATATTACATTTGTAACAAGTGTAAATTTAATGAAAGAGCTATAATAATAATTTCTATTTATTTCATTTTTATATGTATATATTTTTTATCTATTATTTTTACTTATTTATTTATTTCATATATATATATATATATATATATATATATATATATATATATATATATAAAATATATAAAACGACATATATATATATATGTATATATATATCGTATATATATATTTATATATATATATATATATTTATATATATATATATATATATATATATAAAATATATATAAAAAAATAAATAATATATATAAAATAAATAATATATATAAAATAATAATAATAAATAATATATATATATATATATATATATATATATATATATATATATATATATATATTTTATTTATTATTATTATTTTATATATATTATTTATTTTATATATATTATTTATTTTTTTATATATTTACATTTTTTTATATATTTTTATATATTTTATATATATATATATATATATATATATATATATATATATATATATATATATATATATGGGAGTGGGGTAGCTCAGTGGTAGGGAACTGAGCTTCCAATTTATCTGTTTCATTGGCCGTGGGGCGACCCTGGGTCTGGAGACCCTCCTGGGGCACACCCAGCCTCTATAAAGTGGGTACCTTTACAGACCCTTTATGGTTGTAGTGGTACAGGTTTTATATATATATATATATATATATATATATATATATATATATATATATATATATATATAACAACAAAACAACCAACCAACCAGTTGTGTTCCTTTTTAATCTCGGATATTCAAGAATCTCCGAGGAATGATATGAACATGGATGTAAAACCCCATTTCTTTATGTAATATCATGTTTCATCTGCCCAATTCGTCCAATCCTTCTTATGTCATTGAAAGAACAAGTCTTTTAAATGTGAGTGTCACTTTTTTATTTCATCTAGAACTCATAAACATTATAGCGAAGCGAAAAACGTACTCCTTAAGAAATCAAATAACGTTAAATTCTGCCTCGAACGAGTACCTAAACATTAACAAAATTTTGTTAATTGGTATGGCCAATAACCATAGTTTTTCACCTAATTCAGATAAATGGTCCTGTAGCTTGGAAATGAGTATCCGAGAAAAAATCATTGAACATTGGGAAATTCATTTCCAAGCTTCAGAGCCATTTATAGTCATTTATCTCAGTTTTTGACAAATTTGGTAAAGTTAGCATTCGTTGACCGTTATCGACTACAGCACTTAACTAAATTATTAAGTTAAGGTATTCGTTTAACGCACAATTTAACGTTATTCAATTTCTTAAAGTATACATTATTCGCTTTGATGCACTTTTTAGGAGTTATCGATAAAAAAACAGAAAAATATAGAAAAATTATATTTGTAAAATGATAAAATGTGGATGGAAAGGTTCGATTCCTGGTTATAAGTTGCAGCTTTGTATACAATGCTCTAAAAAAATCTTATGGCGCGTCATTTTGAAATTGCATTATAATGTTCAATAGCTCTATACCGAGAAGTAGAGAATTGGTCAATAAGGGTAGCGCCTACGGAGGAAGTTGATGGTAGGTTCTGTTGTGGCCATTGCCTTCCATAGCGACCCAAATCAATGAAAAATAGATCAGCTATCAACAGTTCCCCCCTCCCCACCCCTCCTAATGTGTTCATTGATGGGATTTGGTGCTGGTTAGGCTTGTATCCATAATACTCTTAATGATTCCAAGGAACCCATACGAGTTGTTTATTCAATGGGTATCACCAATGACATTATGAATATGACAATAAGGGACACTTACCTTACGTTTAGTGATGATTTCAATGAGTAATTGGATTGCGGACTCATGGAATGGTCATATATAGATTTTATAAACAATATCAAATTGTGACGGCTCTTAGTCATGTAATAAGAAATATTACTAATATAATTATATATATATATATATATATATATATATATATATATATATATATATATATATATATACATATATATATGTATTATTTATGATTTAAATTTATAATTATTCAGTAATATTAATACATCAGATTATTAAAATCTATTAATCTATTATATATCATAAAATCTATTATACTATCTATTATATATATATATATATATATATATATATATATATATATATATATATATATATATATATATATATATATAGATATATTATTTCCGAATTTAGCACTTTCTTTACTTTTGCCAGATATATTCACCTACCCGCACCAAGCTGCAAGGGTTAGGCACAAAAGTTAAACTATGTTTAAGAACTTCCTGACGATGCTCGCTGTGCCTAGGAGAACTGCTTTTTGCCCTTCTTCCAACATTTTCTCTGGCAGTTTCATATTTTCAACAGAGAGAATCGTATCGTCTGGGATTAGGCTAGAAGTTACAATCGGATACACTAGCGGATCCAGGATTTAATTTGGGTGGGGGGGGCTTCAGCCCGAAAGATTTTTTTTTCATATACATATAACGATAATTAATTTGAAAATAAATAAAGAAATTAATTACCCATATGAAATGGTGTTCAAGTGGTTCTTGAAGTCCTATTAAATATAATTACACGAACAAGAATACTTTAAGAGATAGTTTTTAATATTTTTTTCTGTAAAACATGGTTACATTTTACCATTTTGGTGGGGCTTCAGCCTGAAAGCCTCTCCCTCCCCCCCCGTAGATCCGCCTGTGATCGGATATACCTTTACTTGATTCAGCCTGTAAAGTTGCCGAAGCTCTTGGCACAAATCTTGAAATTTCCTAATCTTTTCGGAAATAGTCTCCGATATTATCATCCAATGACGGATTGAGTGTATGTGGCTAAAGTGCTCTCGATCAATCTGCGCTGGCTTTAGTGCCACTGATTCGGTTCAGAAAGTAGCGCAGAGTTCTCCTGGAGTCCAGCTTTTCCCTCCATAATTGGAGGGACAAGCTTTCCTCGGAGTTCCCTCGCCTGGTTGTAAATAGTGTATATAGGTATGCATGTGTTTTTTGCTTTGTTTTAATTTTCTTATTTTTAAGTTATTTTATTTTATTTATTGTATATACTTTTTGGTTATTATTTATTGTTATTATGCTTCTAATATTTTTTATTTTTTGTACATATAGTGTGAATGTTATCCTACCTCACTATAACTAATGTCCAAGTGACAGATTGTTGTAATACTCAATAAATAAAAAAATAAAAAAGTATTATAGACAGCAATTTTGTCAGTATTAGTTACATATACTTAAAATTAAAAATTATGGTAGAAATACTTTTCCCTTATTAAAAATATATTTTTGATTTACCAATATTAGATGGAATTATGATAAGACAAAAAAAAAAAAAAAAAAGACATATCGATTCAACAGTTTATTGACTACATATTAACATGAAAATCTCATTTTTAATACTAATTCAGATACTTTGATGCCATTCAGAGGTTTTTCTTCTATCTTGTTAACTTTTCACATTCCACAAGTTTCTTTATTTCGTTCTGAAAATATTAAATATTCGATTAATAATCATTTTTATCCGAGTAAATAAATAATGGATATTCTGCATAATTATTGATTTAAACTTTGTAAACTAGCATTTCTAAAATAAATAATCAATAATAAAATAAAAATGACGTCGTAAGACATCATTGTTTCAAATTATGGTCTAAATAAAAAAAATATATACTAATGGAACATCCTGACACACTTTTCTTTACACTTTATTTCTCACTACAGTTAACCATCAATCCACTATTATGAATCATTTTAAAATTTTAATAGTAATAATAAGATATAAATATAAATCATATTGAATCTTACTTGTATGGTTTTGTAAATGTAAAATACTGCTTCCGTGTTGAGTTTACACTCTTCCTGGCTACGTTTTCCCCAACCTGGAGAGAAATTCAGTTGACAAAGACATAAAGTTGCCAATCCCAGAATGAAGCTTAAGATTACAACGGCCTTGAACATTTCTGTTTATCTATAAACAAAAAAAAAATTATTGAATTATGTTAAACTTTGATAGAAAAATAGAATTAGTTAATTAATAAAATTGAAATTAAATGTAGTGCATCCAAAAGACCGTCCAACTACCAAATATAGCTTGACCAAAAACAAGTCTGTGATTCACCTGATTTCAAACATATAGGTAGTTTTTTTTAATTATGATATTTACAACTATATTAAAAAAATACAGCAAATAAATTTGTACAAATGGATATGATATCTCTACATTAGATCGCCCTGCCATTATCTTTTCAGACGCCTCAGAGGGTTATCAGGAATTGTTAGAAAGGTTAGAAATGAGAGGGTTGACACGGTTGGGATGGTTTTGGAGTTTTTATGGAAGGATCGGTAGTCATTACGGATGATTTTAATTATAACAAAGTAAGGAGCATGAAGGATTTTACGAAGGATATTGGACTGTAACGATTGGATACGAAAGGAATTCGAAGATTTTAGTCCCATAGCTCAACTCCGTAAGTCCAAATAGGCCTTATTATAGTCATGCATATGAGTATTTTTTAATTAATTGGTAGCTTAGGGCGTTTTTCTGGTAAGTGCTGAAGTAGTCGGAAACGTAGAGCGGTTTCTTGTCATTTCAGTCTGGTATAAGGATTCTGCGTTAGACGTTTGTCCAGGTGGAGGAAACGGATATGTTCAACAGGGGTAAGTGGGCCGTTGTTAAAGGATACTGTAGGACAGCAAGTCATAGGTTTACGACGAAGGGGAAATGTAATTTGATGGGATTTATTTTAATTCTCCAGTTTTAACACCATTCTTCAAGTTTTATAATGTGTTATTGAAGAGTTTGGGATGCAATGATGGGTCATCTTTAACTTATAAGATATGTAGCATCGGCATACATGGTGATGACAATGTTGAGATGTCAGCTGTATGAACTGTTTAACTGGGAAAAGAGGGATGAGTAGGCATTGTTTTGATTTACGTTGAAGTATCTATCAGTAAGGTAAGAAAGGATAACGAGGAAGTATGTAGATAGAAAGAATTTACGGAGTTTGTACAGCAGTCCCGGGTGCCAGTCTGTATCAAACGCTTGTTCAAAGTCTAGGAAGACTCCGTACAGCACATTCCGCATGCGGTATCTGAGTGCCCAATCTGCCTGATAATGGTACAGTGGAACGCTTAACGTAGCGTTTTCGCTGTATCGCTACTCGTACAGAATCAACAGCCATAGAAAAGAAACTTTGAAGACAGAATTTGCTTATATGAAGAAGGATTTGATTTTCTGTATATACATATTATTATTTCAGTATTTTATTTTATACTAAATTAGTTATACTGTAGAATTCATATACAGAGTGTCCCAGGTGATAATCCATGAAAAAAATGTACACTAACTACTTACTACTGAAACATCATTTCTAGACAACAGATTGAGATGTAAATATTAAACGTGTGTTTGGCGGAGCTGACATATATTTTCAATAGACTATAACCCTCTCCCAATTACTGAATTTTCATTACAATATCAGAAATTTTAGATTTTGTGTTCAAAAATGATCATTCTTTTTGCGCCGTACAGTAATTAAAGTGAACTGAGAGGGATTTAATGCATACATTGGGTACGTCTGTTAAATTAAAAAAAGTTTATTACAACACACCAGTTTTTACAAAAGGATTAATTGTATGGTAAAGTGAAAATTTAACTCACAATTATTTACTTTATAAAGATAATGGTTCCCGAGAATCCGTTCAATTCGTAGACAAATTGAAATACTTCGTCCCCACAATAACCTCAATGAGTGGCCATTGATTAGGAATATAAACGCAAACGCTAACGGCGCTTCCTTCTCTCTTTCAAATGTTTTAAAATTCTCATATATGGCTGGGAGACCTGATCCCTAACTAGCTAGAAGTATTAAAAGATTTGTGAGAAGAATACTCCGCACGATAACCGCAGCGATCTGGTATCAACATACTAAAGCACGGAAGAGAGAGAATAATAAATAAAGAGCTGCTTACAGAAACTGGTCAATCAATATCACATGATATGAAGGCAAGGAGGTTAAGATCGTTAAAAATTCATCCGGAAGCCTCTACACAAGAATGAATACCTCAGTATAAGACAAACATAAGATGGATTGATAGAATCAACTAAGATGCAGTAGAGCTTCATGCAGATAACTGAAAGAAATGGCCGAAGATAGGCTAAGATAGAGAAGGCTAATACGGCGGCAAATAAATACAAAAATAATAAAGTTAATTATGATAATTTTCTAAAGTGACTGTTATAAAACAGGGTTAGTTTTATTTGATAAATAATTGTCATTCCTAACTTTATAGATTTATATTAAATTACTGCAAGGATATAAGAGTTCTATAGCAAAAGTTAAATTTATAGACCATTTGAACTTGATAATATAAAAAAAAAAAAAAAAAAAAGTTGAGAACTAAGATACTGCTGAATAGCTGAGCTGCTGTTGGCTCATTAACACCGATCGATCGATTGCACAGAAAAAACGTATTATTAATTTTCCATATATGTTATTCGCAATCGTAATGTTACATTTTTTTTATTACAGATTTAAAAAAAGGAAACAATAAAATATGTTATTGAATTAGGCTGTAAGTAATAATTAAAATACACCATTACAATACTTGGATTCTACTAATTCGCACTTACCAGTCCACTGGAAACTAAGAACTGACAGTTTTTTCATCTGGTCCCTGTTTTATAGGCCGCTAAACATTCTTTTTTTTTTTTTTTTTTTTTTTTTTACTTAATATATTTGTTTGGCTTCTATCTAATTAGGAGAGAGTTTGATATTCTTAATTTGGCTTCTTTCTTTCGGCCTGTCTTCTTTTTCTTTTAATAGTGAAGCCATTTAAGTTCCTGTAAATATATTTGGTTTACGAATCGAGTGGGAAACCTTCGACTTGGCTTGGCTAGGCGAACACGAAGGTTCGAAGCCGATCCGTCATAACTGAAATTCAGTGAAAATAGGCCTAAAGCAATCCTCCCTCTTTCATCTTGTTCTATCACATCATAAGCTTACACGTCGCAAAGTGGGTTGTCAGAGGGAGCTAGCGGTGCAAAAGCCGATACAAAGGGATTAGTTGTTCGTTCTTGTTCAAAATAATATATAATCAATTAGAAAAATTATGCTTAATTTCGGGTTTATAAAAGATAAATTTTATAAGATATTTTACATAATAACCTAAATTAAAAAGATAAAAAAAATTGTTTCATCTGGACCTAAGGACGACTAAATTTTCGAACATCAAACGTATCCAATCCTTCCAGTCCAAAGTCCTTCGTACAATAGTAAATGCTCCTTATTATGTTACAAACAACACTTTACATCATGATCTTAACATCCCTCATGTCCTTGACGTTATTCCATCCCGTTTCTCAAATTTTCATCAAAAACTAATCCATCATCCTAATCCCTTAGCACAATCCTTATCCAGCTCCAGCCATCCATACAATCCTCCTCGAAGGTTAAAAAGGCAATGGCCTCGAGATCTATTGTAAATACATCATTGGAGCTCTGGTAATGGCATGCTTCTCCACTCAAGTCATGAGCGTACGTGGCTTTAGTGCCCTTTCTCAGTCTCCACTGGATCTCCATCTCAGTGATGCGGCTGAGAGAGAAGCGCTGGGATCTCTTAAAGTCTTGCCTTATCTTCCATACCCGGGGGAAAGACTTGGAGCTCCCTCGGCTGACTGTAAATAAGCATGAATGATTTTTTTTTTTTTCTTATTTGAGTTATATCATATTTTATTTCATCTGTTTTACTAAGGTTTCTTTTTCTTATTTTTGTTATAATTTCTATTATTTTTGTTTTTGTATATATTGTATGGATGAGTTTCTTATATCTCAAATACTCAATACCCTTGATTGAGGCAAAATATATTTTTTCTCAATAAAAGTTTGAAAAAAAAAATTGTATACATTTAGTTTTTCTAACATGATTTATGAACGAAGTTAAGTGTATAAATTTAATTGTTTTAAATCTTTTTCCTGTTTTTAGTATTATTATTATTATTTTGCTGTTATTCCATTGCATTTTATTTTATTCATTGTACATATAGTGTAAATGAACACACAGAGGAAAGAAAATAATTTACATCTACATAATTTAGAAACGTTCGTAGTTCTGATAAGGACATAGGCGGGCAAGGTAGAAAAAAGAAAAGTGCTGAGAATTAATTGAAGAAGTATAATGGTCTGATCTCGTAGGAAACTCAATCTTTTCTACAGTAACTTTACTTATCGATTAAGACATTAGAGAAAACGTATCAGGCAGGATCATTGAAATCTTGTAAGAAAATTCAAGAACATTATAAAAAACATTCATGTAATTTTGTTAAAATAAATATGGTCCATAATTATTAGGTATATTACCACTTCTTGGATAAAAAAAAAAAAATACGATAATGATAATATATTTACTCACCCGGAGTGGGAGCTAAATATCTATGATTAAAACTTTGTTTTCAGTTAAATTTCCCACATGTTAGGCATCCAAATTAAACAAAAAAAAAAAAAAGTTCATTATAATTTGTAAACAGTTCTAGCACGGGCGGGTCTACGGGAGGCTTTCGGGCTGAAGCTTCCCCCAAATGGTAAAATATAACCATGTTTTATAGAAAAAAATATTAAAAAGTATCTCTTAAAGTATTCTTGTTCCTTTAATTACATTTAATAGGACTTCAGGAACCACTTAAACACCATTTCATATAGGTAGTTAATTTCTTTCTTTTTTTTTCAAATTAGTTATCGTTATATGTATATGACGAAAAAAAATCTTTCGGGCTAAAGCCCTCCCCCAAAAAATTAAATCCTGGATCCGTTAGTGAGTTATAGTAACGTTATACCACCGCACTCTCCATGTACGGTGCATTAGGCGAGGGAGCAACAATACTGGACACTTATTCTTATTTATTTTGGTTTTTGTCTTAGAATTATTCATACGTAATTTGGTACAAAAACATAGGGATCAAATATCACTA